TTCTCCACGAACAGTTCAACATGGCTGCCCATCAATCCAAACTATGTGACTGTGAATGTGCAGACCGAGGAAGACGCGTCGAAGAGTCATTTGACAATTTACAATCAGCTGGTGGAGCTGCGCAAAACAAAAACGCTGCAGCAGGGCGGTGTCAGCTATACAGCTATTGGCGATAATATTTTGGCCATTAAGCGGTAAGTAAATGTAAGAAAAGGTCGCAGGTGTAATATTTTCTCTGATTTTCGCACTCGGCTGCAGTTTCTTGAAAGATGAAAAGACATACCTTTTATTGGCCAACGTACTGGACTCCGCTGCAACAGCGGACGTTAGCGATGTACTGCGCGTCAGCGGCAGCTTCAACGCTACGATAACAAATATGTTATCGAACAGAATAGAAGGGTATGTGAATGTAGTACACATGGTCTGGCTTGGTTGTTAAAGTCGCAATTTTTGTTTTTGCAGTGATATCGTGAACGTCAACAATGTCTCGTTGGGTGCCTATGAGGCGATTATAGTGGAATCGATGTGAAGTAGCGTGCAATAAGTGTGAGAAGTTGTAGAAACTCTCACATACTTTAGTATTTTAATATAGTATTAAAACAAGAAATGTTTTTTTATATTAAACCTTGTGAAATTATATGTTTGTTTTCTAAAAGTATTGTTTATGGAGGCTAGAAATTCTGTGATAAAAATCTGGTCCATGGCAGCTAATTTATAGCAACGAAATGTTTGCAAAAGCACTGTTGTTGTTTCGTAAAGACTTGCAATAATTTTGTTTTTTTTGTTTTTTTTTTGGAAGTAAATAAAAACCATTTTGCATTAAGAGTGTGCAACTATTTCCATAAAAAGTATGAAAAGTAAGAAAGAAAATGTTTCAAATCAGCGAAACTTAACGAATGCTTCTAAAATATGTACACACAACAGCACGCTTTAATTCTTCAAATATTCGGCACATAAACAAAAGAAAAAAATTGTATTGAAGTACTCACACCAACATTCATAAATTTCAAAATGTAAATGTTTTTATGCAAACACACAGGTATCTGGAAGTTTGCGCTGGAGTTTTGCGAGAGCATAAAGAATGATTGATAACTCAGAAAACAAATCACAAGCACAGCAAGAAACCAAACTCATTATGCAAAATTTTTATTTATGAGTTTGAAAACACTTGCCAAGTATTATATATATACGTACATATATATATATGTGTGTGTGTTAGTGCGTGTATATATAAATATGTATGTATGTATGCACCTGTGCTGTTAGAAATTTTATAAATGCGAAAACATACACACAATTTATGCTCTCACACTTCTGCGCTCACTTGCGGGCGCCAAGGCTTGTGAGTAATTTTCCGGCTTGTGTCCTGGTCGTGCGCTTTGAACCGCGCGAAAAATTTGTCTACGTCGAAGTACCGCTACAAATGCAGATAGTGTGTGTGTAAACCTGTTTTACTTTCTTTTGCTGTTTTATACATCTCCTTTCCAGTCTTTAGCTACATAAATGTTGTGATCATCTTCTTCATCAGCGGCCATAATCATTATCGCTATTGACATGCACATTTTCGGCAGCTGTTCACGGGCAGGTCGCCGACACGCAAAGCACTCACCAAGAAGTGGTTGCGCAGTAAATATTAGTCGCTAATATTTCAGTGAAAATGTCGACAGCTCACGCTGTAGAAGCGTAGTGTGTTGATTTGACAAAATTTCACTTTGTCTTCGGTGTGGGACTGTATTCATAGTGAAGCTTTAATGTAAGAAGAAGCAAGCTCTTGTTGTACTTTGTTGTTTTCTTACAACGTTAAGCGAGAGAAACACGAATTATACCATTTTTATGTAAGCATTGTTTTTGTAAAACATGGAGTCACATAACGAACAATATTGAACGTGATGAACGGCAATGGATTTTAAATTTTTTGAACTACCACCAATCAAAAAAAAAATATATATCTAAATCAAATCACATAAATAATCAAAAAGAATTTCTTTTGCGAAAAAATCGCCTATCTGACTAACGTAAAGTTTATAAATTAAAGAGCGAGGTTTAGGACAGCCAATGGGTGCACTGTGGGAATATTAGGATTATACTACCATTACGAAAGCTAAAAAGAGTATTGAGGTTAAGAAACCACATATTTACTTGTTGTAAGCTTCTACCAATATAAAACATCGGTCTAAAAATAAGCTAAATTATGATAGAAGTTATCATTCATCTGTTTCAAGTAACGCGCGTTTCTTAAAGAAATATTGTCTTATACAAACGTGTGAAAAGATGTCAAGTATTTTTTAGATATATTGTAATTAAAAATATATGTATATATAAATATCCATATAACGCCTTAAGCTTTACTACTTGAATACCACCAACATACGCATTTTAAGAGCGAAGCAAAGTGTGCTACAAATATTCGGGAAATTAAAATGACATGTGCAGCAGTTTCCGCACTTCTCAATTTTCCTTCGCTACTCTACCTTAAATGACTTTATGTAAGCTGTTGTGGTGAACAAAAGCCAAAATATCACAGCATCGATTGAAAAATCGTAAATTGTAAACAATTTTGTATGCACAGAGCGCCAGCGACGATAAACGCGGGAGAGGATGTTGGGTTTGAGCTTAAAACAAAATCATAGTAATTAAAAAACGTGTGTGCATATGTGTGTGCGGTGGTGAATAGAACACGCAGCAAACAGCGAAAATGCGCGGGTACAAAGAAAGTTTAACCCTTTTTTGCTTTTAATGCGTAATTATGCGAGCAGGTTAGGCGGAGCGTAGGAAACCATTTTGAAGGCGCCACACTGAAGCGCTTACAATTGCCAGGCCACTGTTGCGGTGTGTGTTAGTAATTTTTATCTTAAGCTTTGTTGTCATGTCTGAAGCAGCGCATTAAAAACCAAATCAAATAAATTTAATTTTACATGAAACTATTTCTGTATCAACAACTGATTTCATTGAATTTTTGAATGCTAACCGAAACATTTCTTATGCGAAGCGCAGCGGCGGCGATGTCATAAAGTTTAGTTCGTATTTGGAGCGAGTCAATGTTGACAATTTTATCATGGGTTAAAAAGCGTACGCACATCACTACCTTAGCAATCGTGTACGCTTAGCAGCGTGTTATCCATTTAACACTCACGGTTAACTGATTAGGGGTTTTCGAGTTGTGTTAATTTTTAAGTCGCTTAAGGTTTGCGTAGCAGTGTGCAGGTGTACGGTGTACAACAAAAACTTTGCAGATCTCACCTTTTGCTCTTTTACTGTCTCTGCCAAGTCAAGCGTTCGGTATAAGCGCTTTAATCACTTCACTTTTGAGGCAGTCGCTGTAGCAATTCTGTGACGTTTTTTGGCAGTTTGTGTGGCAGCTGAGTGCCGTGCCCCTGCTGTAAGCCAGTCGCCTGTCTCGCGCCTGACATGCATCTCGACGTGACCCTCATACAAATTTGCGCAAACCGAATTTGGCGCTAATGAGAATGGAGTAGCGGCGCTTGGACGAGTGTATCATAGTGAACCTTTTTGTGTACTTCACGTTGCTTTATATTCTAGCTGTGCCAGGCGTCTTTTTTCTTGTAACTTGACCGCCTAATGGTTAGCAAGTGTCCTCAGTGGAATAATGATGTTTTTGGAGTAAATATTTTTGTTTGCCTTTTCTGCTTTCACCCAAATTGAGGCAATGACTGAATTTCATTCCTCGGTCCTCTCAGTCAGTCTTCTTATTTTAATTATTTAATAGGTTTTTAGCATCTTCGCACCGATTTACTGGCTTCTTTCAGTGATAACTGTCAAATTAATTATAGCCATAAAAAGTTGAAGTATCTAATCTTGGCAATAAGCTAGCACTTGTCGATCAGATTAGCTGTGAAAGGCACCGAAAAGATTTCCGTCACTTGATCTGCTGAGATCTGTGGGTATTCCTCTTAAAGGTTGAGAGAACATAACAGCGTTGTTAATGGTTGGGTATTAGAAATCACTCAGTACTGCACAACTTTGCCTGGGCTCCGACGGACGATGCATGAATTTCGGAAAGTGGTCCATAAAGCATATTGAACTCAGTTCTTAGCTCGTTAAGATTTCATTTCAAACCCCAAATAACTAATCAATTTGAAATTTGCCAAACGACATCATTGCTCAATTATTCTATGGCCCAACTAGTTATACCCAGAACAGGGTATATTGGTATATTAAATTTGCCACAATGTTTCTAATACCTAGAAGGAAACGTCGGAGACCCTTCAAATACATATCTAAATTATCAGCGTGACGAGCTGAGTCGTTTTGGTCATGTCCGCATGTCTCTCTGTATAAACGCGAACTAATCCTTCAGTTTTTGAGATATGGATCTGAAACTTTGCACATATTCTTTTCTGACCAAGAAGCTGCTGATATCTGACTACTATAGCATATAGCTGCAATACAAACTGAACGATCGAAAACAAGTACTTGTTCAAGTCGATTTTCTTGTCAATTGAATATTGATTACTTGAGCAAGTATCTTTTGTATATGTGAAGGGTGTTATAGCTTCGGTGCAACCGAAATTAAAGTTTTTTATTTTTATTTTTTATTTCGTGTTTTTAAAGTATCATTTGCCTAGGCACCCTAGAAATCCACAAAATATTATGGAAATTAAAAAACTTTTACTTTCCCCCTTTTTCCTCACTTTTCTCCACTCACTGCGCTGATCCATTTGAATACTCCGGACTAAAGGTAATATTGTACGAATTTCGAATTCAAATGACACAAATTACGCATCGAAAAGTCAGCAAGAGATAGAAAGACAGCTGACATATGCGTGCGTGCATTGAGCATGAGTCAGACATTTTGTTGCACAATGTGGAAAACAGTGAAGCATTGTGCCGTTTTAATTTGCGCACGAATTTGTCCGACTTTTATATTCGCTATTTCAAAGCGTTTGGTATTCAAAACAACGCCATGGTAGCAACAAATTACACCATTGAAATGAGGAAATGAAGGAATAAAGATAACGAAACAAAGCAAAAGATGGTGGAAATAAAAAAAATATATAATTTAAGGGTATATAAAAAGCGCACATCAGCTAGGGAAAGCACAGTAGTATGAATTGAAATCAGCGGCTAACCAAGTGGCAACCACAATGCCGAGCAGGCGAACACATGTGCGCGTGTGTGTGTGATGGACTGTAGTTGGCTTTCTTGTTGTGTGTCCTTCGTTTTGGGCTTTAGTGTGCGACTAGCGACTAGCGTCTGTAGGCTGGTGGTTGGAGATTGGCGGAGGTGGGTCGCTAGCTGCCGCTGAGTGACAACTCAATAAGTATGCAAGGCATGCACAGCGCGCGTTTGTTCTGCGAGTAAAATGCGTAGGGCAACAATGATATTTGTCAACGCTTGGTTACATATTTGCTTTCTGAGGTTTCTCTTTGTCTCATATCATAATGATTATTGCGTTTAAGAGCTTTTTTGTTTTGTGAAAGTGCGCTTTTGTTTTTATTGTTGTTGCTTAAAGCATTTCTCTGTATTTGAACTTTTGAACTGGAGTGTTTAACAACAAAAACATTCATTCAGTACATATTACCACACGATATCTAGGGTGACTCAGGTAAACCGCAAAATCTTCTTCAAAGTCACATTTAAATGCGTCTAATAGCAGACTCAAACTCAACAACACAAACAATGCAATACTTCGCCCTTCACACGGAAATTCTTGTGACCCCACTGAGACTAGAGTATGCTCTAAAAGTGGTAGTGTGAAGAGCAGTAGAATATGAAGCGATTCTGTACGGCGAATATTCTCATAGCACACTCCCACCACCAAATGAAACCGAGCAGGCCAACGAAGAAAGCCAATAGCAGTCAACACCTGCCTTCATGTCCATTACTCGAAGTTGATATGTAGTTCCTGTAAAGTTGCCTATGGAAAAACTGTAATGCACTGTTTTCATTTGAGCATCAGCCCATTCGACACATGCATCCACAGACAGAATCTGTGCACTGAGAAAATATAGGTATGCTTAGCCAAATGCAGAACCGTGCTTCCAACTACATGCGTATAAGCCAGTCTTACTTCTGTCTGCTTTTTACTTCCACCATTCTGCACAATTTCATTGCGCATATGTGTGTTTTGCATAGATATGTTATGCGTTTGGCGGTTTTTTGCCTGCATTTTTCTATCATCTCTCCTTTATTCTGACTTAATTCTCCCATTTTTATTTGCTCTAGGCTTCCATTTCTTGTTTGCTTTCTTTCGATTTTTCGTTCACTTTAATTTGGTTTCATCTAGAGCTCGCTTTCGAATTGAGTGAATGAGTTGTGGTTATTAGCACTCATACAAAGCTTTAGAGAAACTGGTGAGCACAATTTTCGTTTTAAGTGATTAAATTACTTCCTCTGATTTGCAGTTAAATTCTGTTATCTGAAGTTAAAATTACAATATATAATTTACATTATAGTACTTTTGACTCTTAAGCAGAGAAATTTAGTTGTAAGAGTGAGAAAAAGGGGGAGTTTAAAACTTTAAAGTATGTACATCGAAGAGAAATTTGTATATAAATAAACCAGTTACACGCTAATTTCGAAGCCATTATTATATCTACAAGTTCACAGGCGTCCATAGAAGCATAGCTAAGCCTCCGCTTTGTTATATAATGCAGCAGGAGTTTCTTGGGTACATTTAGAGTTGGGAAGCACGGGGTTACATTTTAAATGAGGTCTTCAAGTGTTTTTCGCACATTAAACCGTGTTAGTCCATTCAAATATCTTCGCTGGAGGGCTCACTACTCGTACGTAGCAATCAACGCCACTTTACAACAAAATATTTCCTATACTTGTAAACATACCTCATAACATTACTTAATGCACACTTGAGTCTTATCGAAACCAATATACAAGTATAATATGTTTACTTAACAAATGTAAGTAAGGTGCTCGGAACATATTAGATAAATAACACGCAGAACCTATAAAAGCCACGTCTGTATGTCAACTGCTGCAGTATGATGTAAACTCAAACATGAAATCAATAAAATTTGCTCGGTATTTCGTAGCGTTCATAATATTGTCGGTGCTTTCCGCGCATAGCGGTTGCCTGGCTTGCACGCTCTCAAACCGTGCACAGGCGGAGCAGAAAGACTGGTGGCAAACTGCACAGTTCTATCAGATTTATCCACGCTCTTTCCAGGATTCCGACGGCGATGGTATTGGTGATTTGAAGGGAATTACGTCGCGCTTGGAGTATCTCAAGGATATTGGCGTAACGGCGGCTTGGCTGTCGCCAATTTTTAAATCTCCGATGGTGGACTTTGGCTATGACATTGCAGACTTCTACGAAATTCAACCGGAATACGGCACAATGGATGATTTTCACGAGTTGATTGCAAAGGCGAACGCAATGGGTCTAAAAATTATTTTGGATTTTGTACCAAATCATTCTAGTGATGAGTGTGAGTGGTTTCAAAAATCACTAAGGCGTGAGCGCGGTTACGAGGACTACTATGTATGGCACAATGGCAAGCTGGATGCGGATGGCAAACGCATTCCGCCGAGTAACTGGGTGAGTGTGCAGTAGCAGCTACAGCTAAGTATATTCTTTCAACTGTACTCACTTGTTAACATTTGCGCTCATTTGAACTCCTTCAGTTGCAATCGTTTCGCGGTTCAGCGTGGGAATGGCGTGAGGAACGCCAGCAATACTATCTGCATCAATTCGCCGTGCAGCAGGCCGATCTTAACTATCGCAATCCTGCTGTGGTGGAACAAATGAAACGCATAATTCGCTACTGGCTTGACCAAGGCGTGGCTGGTTTTCGCGTCGATGCAGTGCCAGTGCTTTTCGAAGTGGAACCCGACGAGAATGGGCAATATCCCGACGAGGAGGTGAGTGGCACCACCGATGATAAAGACGATCGCGCTTACCTGAAAAGCGATCTCGTGGAAAATCGTCCAGAGACCATCGATATGGTTTATCAGTGGCGTAAAGTAATGGATGACTATCAGCGCATCCATGGTGGTGACACGCGTGTGCTGCTGATCGAAACGTACGCGCCGGCCGCATACACGATGCAAATGTACGGCAACCGAACAGTCGAGGGCGCGCATTTGCCGTTCAACTTCAATTTGATTACCATGCTGACACAGGATGTGAGCGCGTCGTACGTGCAGCAGGCGGTCGATGAGTGGCTGGAGCATATGCCGGCAAAACGTACAGCGAATTGGGTGGTAAGTAAGTACAGCAGTTTGGGTTGTCTGTGATATCGCTAATGTCGTATTATTCCTATACTATTGGCAGATCGGTAATCACGATAAACGTCGCGCCGCTAGCCGCTATGGAGTGCAACGCACCGATGCCATGAATATGCTGGTCATGACTTTGCCCGGAGCAAGTGTCACCTATCAGGTGAATACGACTCTGGCGGTTGTAATGCATGGGATTATACTAAAATTTTATTTAAGGGTGAAGAATTGGGCATGATTGATGGCGTGATCTCATGGGAGGATACGGTTGACCCCGCTGCTTGCAACTCAAATGAAGACATATATGAGAACTTTACGCGTGATCCGTCACGTACGCCATTCCAATGGACCGCAGGCACTAACGCTGGTAAGCGCAATTGATTGTAAACAATTTTGTGTACTTGTAATAAACGGTTTATACCCTCAACAAGGTTTCTCCAATGCATCAAAGACATGGCTACCGCTTGCACCAGACTACCAAACGCTCAATTTTGACGTGGAGAGCTCGAGTGCAAATTCTCATCTGAAGATCTACAAGTCACTGATCGCTTTGCGAAAACGCTCAAAGACACTACAGAATGGCTCATACAAATATAAGGCACTCGCAAACAACTTTTTCGCTTTAAAACGGTACACAGCAGTATATAAAATAATGCCTATTCGGTTACTATATACTTTCACTCATTTCAACAGCTTCTTAGCCGGCGAGGACACCGTTGTATACATCGCTAATTTTGGCAATGACACTAGTACTGTGGATCTGCAGAACGATTTTGATACTTTTCTACCCGATGCTATGAGCTTGACGATAAGCAGCCTGTACTCAACGAAAATCAGCGGGTGTGTACAGCTTATATGACTTCGCTGCAAATATTATATATTACTATATCAACTAACTGAAATTCGGTTCTCTTTATTTGTTTTCAGCTCCGACATTAATATCAAGAGTTTGTCGTTGGCAGCCGGTGAGGCCTTGATTTTGAGTGGACGCGCTAATTGAGTTTGGTATGTTCAACAGCAGTATATATGCGCCTGCACTAAACATGTTTTTTTTATAAATTATAATAAAAGTTTAAAATGAAACCAAATTTACGTAAGTGGTTTCAATTCTTTTATTCAGAATATTAATTCATTTGTTTTGCTCTCAATATTTCATATGTTACATATGTATTTTCTAGAATGTGTGGAAATTTATTTGCTAACCGTTATTTGCATTCTCTTTCATTTGAGTAACTTTAAACAATTTACATTTACATAGTGAATGCATACATTTAAGCTACTTACTTCCATATAGGTTATGTACGTGTATACATACATATGTACAGCGTATATTTAAGCATTATTTATTTACATAGGCTTAAACATATTTACGTAGAAACATTCAACTGTGTGTAACGAGTTTTTTTCTTCGATATTCATTAGACTTTTCAATATTTACTTTGCTGTAATTAATTTGCATAATTACTTGATTATTTTTGGTCATGAATTTGTCCGCCATAAATTGTTGCATTATTAATTTATAATAACTATTTAAATCGACGGTTAACTACAATGCATATTTTGTCTTATCTAATATCTTTATGCGTATTTTATACTAAAATTAATTAATTTACCGGACCCTCTAGGAAAAATATAGCACTCTTAAGTATAGCTCTTTATGCCTTAATATTAACAGTTACAAATACCTAGTGTATTTTATTTACAAGTATTACGCATTTATAACAATTTTCAATAATACATAGTTTTTTAATTGGAAAGGCATATTTTGTTTTTGATTCAGCTTTATAAAGAAAGTAACTAAAAACGCTTTTAATTAGTTGAAAACTTCGTAAGTTGTATTAAATGAAAGCGTTTTGCAGCGCTAGGTCTTACGACGAGCTTTCGTATGTGAAAGCTCTCCTGTTATAAACGAAAGTTGCTTTGCGACTGAGAAAAACTGCTTTGGTTTATATTGACGTTAAGTTAATTCGCAAATAAATTCATTATGTTGCTGGGCTCAAACAACGTAATAAATTTAGTTGCCTCTACTGCATATAGGTGTCACGTAAGAACTTGACTAAGCAATAGAGCGTTTGATTAGGTTGCAGAAGGGATAATATTATTATTGTAGTGTACACGATTTATAAAATCTATTATTTTTTGTTGACTTATACTAGTTGCTATCCCTTTTGTAACAAAATCGCGTGTGTCCATTTTTAAATTAACACGTTTTAATATACGCTATAATATGTTTATCGTGTTCACTTAAGTAAATTAATAATAAAGGCTTAACACTATGTTTCTAAACATACATATATTCATTGCTACATTTGGCCTCACACTTAATATTTTGTTCTAAATAATATCACATGTTAGCGCAATCTTAACTATGTTTGGTATTTTTACAAAATTTTTTAAAAATAATATCATAAATTAATAAAAACAGCATAAAATTCACAGAGTCGTGGTGATTAATCAATTAGAAAAAAAAATTAATATCAAAGAAACGAGGTACTTAAAGGTAGAGTAGGTAACAAGCATAGTATTTGGCGTCTCGCATGTTGCGCTCATTTCGTTCGATCAGCTGTTATTTGAAGCAATTCACAACAGTTTCATTAAACCAAATATTAAGTTACTAATTGTTTGGATTATTGAACTTTAATAATATATTCCGGTTTTATTTCTGCACTGAAGAATTATAAACTTAAACTCACTCTAAATTATTCTATATATAACTATAACCAGATAGTTTTGTACCATACCCTTAAGTATAAAACACTTCCATACTCTTATAATTTACTTAACATAGTATGCTAACTTTCTTATTTTCTATTTTAACGAACTTAATATGCTAATAGCACAACTTATGTAACTAGCTAAATTCATTGTAATTTCATTGGAACTACAAAAAGTCCAAACAATTTTGCATGTTCTGTGGCTTACTTTCGAAGGCATAACCGCCGTTACTTACCCATACCCTTACACTTACATCATAAGCAGTCATTTATGAACTCTTTGAAAAGAAATAAGTTTGACTTAAAACTAGCTTTTGATTCTACTTACAGATACAAATATATTTAGCAAATCTCTAGTGGCATTTCAGCAATTTATTGCGCTGCCAGTGTCGCACGCCTAGGGCTAGTTCTCTCACTCTCACACGGGTATGGCGCACCGCTTTTTGCTGCTGGTTGCTGTGCTGCCGTTGCCGCCATTGCTGCTGCTGTTGCTATTAGTGCTGCTGCTGCTGTTGCTGCAATTGCAGGCTGTGATGCTGCTGGTGGTAGTGTTGAGATCTGTGGCACCGTCCCCGTTGCCGCTGCCATCGTTATTGCTGAGCATGTTTTGTGTGGCAGCGCGATTGCCATCGTTGTTGTTGTTGTGCTGATTACACTCGCCAAGTTTAGCTTGCGCGGGCTGTGCGCCACAACTATTACAGCCGATTTCTTGTTGTAGCGCATAACTCATGTCATGTGCTATCAATGAGTCCGCAGCATTACACTGTTCGATGGCTTTTGCGGTTGCTAATGCAGCGCCAGCGCTGACAGAATTGGTTAGCGGCGCTTTGGGCTATAAATTCGTGGTCTCCAGTTGTGGTTTACCGCTATCACTGCACAAAGTTGCGCTATCGCTGCAGTTGTTCAGCGCAACATGTTGCTGCAACATCACATGGTTGCTTAGTGCATGCAAAGTGGGTGGTGATACGGCTGTACTAATTGCCGCCACTGCTGTGGCATTCGTGGCCGCTGAGCTGCCTGTCGTTGCAACAGCGGTGGCGGTGTTTGTGGCATGCGCCAGCGCGTTAGGGTTGCCATGCTGCAATTGATTGATTTTATTATTATTCGCCACCACTTCAGCTTCGCTTGTGGCGGCTAGTGGGTGGGGTAATGATTGTTGGCTTTGTTGCTCATGCTGTTGCTGATGATGATGATTGTTGTTTGGCACATACTGATCCGCATAGGGAATCTGACTGTAGGCGATGCTGTCTAAATTAGTGAAGATATTCGTTATTGTGATGGTCTGTGTTGCCATCTCACAGAGCTTCTTCGACTTGGTGCTGTGCTCTGCAGAACGAGAAGGAGTAAAAAAAAATACAGGTGATGTAAATACTTTCAAGGTGAGTTCCTCATATGCAAAGATTTGAAGGCAAATAAAGTTATATTTGGTCTGCATATGTTGAAGCCCTTGCTATTTGTTGTAGATATACTCACCTGTATTTGTTGGTGTGATATGCTTTTGTATTTTCTCCTCTTGCGCACATGTAGCTGCTGTCACCACCGCGGCGGCCATCATGGAAGAAGGTCCGGTGCCCGCCCTGTGCATGTTTCCATAGCGCGGTGGCATCATGCTCTGTCGCACGTTGCGTTCGGGCCTTATAAGTATTATGTGCAGCTGAAAGAAGCAGAGCAGGTTACGAAAATTGCAATATCAATTTCATAAACAACAAAAATTTTGCAAAAATTAAATATTTTATTTGAGTTTTGACTGATCTACATTTCCGGTGAAAGGTTTTGTTTGCTGTCAACCGCATCAACATGACATATTCATGTTTAATTGATGTCAAATCTGATTTTACCAACAGTTGAGTTGCACTGACATTTGCCATATTTGCATTTAGTGACACAATATTTATTGTAGATCTCACTAGGATTTGCGCATTATGTCATATTATATTTTTGCTTGCGGTTGTTTATCTACAGTTAGCTGTCACGTGCAACAGCAAGTATTATGCGGGCGGTTTTTGTGTGTTTTAAAGCGAATTTCACAATCCAAACTTTGTCTACGTGCACACACACACAAATTCATATTTACCCATACATGCGCAGTTAGTGTCTGCTATGCATTCTAATCAAATTTACGTTGAACTTGCAGCGAAGTTTTGCTGTTTTTATTGTTTTAGTTTTTTTTTTTAGTTGTTCACTTGAATATTTATTTGATGGCTGACAGTTGATAGCGTGTCAACAGTTTTAATTTAAATTTTGTTGACGGATGAGCTCTATTATTGGTGTAAAACAAAGGAGCTTTCAGAATTTTCACATTTCGGTGGGAAATATCAACAAATGCAGACAAGTTTTGGAAAACTGCTACCCTTATTAATTTATTCTGAATTAAATTGATAGCACTTTGAACTGATTTGTAGGTACTAGACAAAAAATGTTCAAGCCGTTAAGCAAAAATGTTGTCAACAGAACTTTGTTAATTAAGTTCCTTTGCTGAAGTAATCGAATTTATATGGTGGACTAATTCGTCAAATGCAGAAAACAAAGTAACTTGAATATTTTTATTGCATTCGTAAATTTATATTTCTCATCTATATAATGAAGTTCTTTGCACATTCGATCAGTTGCGGGTTGGCCAATATTTAATTGTCATACAAATTGTGTGGGATCCAACAAAAACGAATTCCATTGCAGTCAAATGTTCATGCAATATTGAATGCTTGCTAGTCCCACTAATGCCCATAGTTGTTTAATTTTCGTTAGAGGTCATATGACGAACTTGCAATAGCAATTTGTGCCCAGCATCAATAGTTTCCGGAACAACAACTGATTTTGGATGACATTCACAAAATTAATCTAAGAGCGATCTACGACCTCGTTTGAATTCACTATATCATCGATAAACACTGGATATTGATGGCGTTTCATCGCCAAAAATTTAATTAAGTTCATGAATGTGCTGTTGTTGAGTTAATTCACGTCGAAAGTTGTAAAAAAAATAGCGGAAAATGTTCGCAATTTAATTCCATTTTTTGGTCGAGATGAATACTTTAAGTTACTGTAAATCACACAAAGAGCGCTCGCATGTCAAAACGTGCTGGGTGTATATATAAAATGTCAAAGAGTTAACAAATCACGATGAATAAAAGGCAACCTTAAAAAAAAAGAGCTTGCTGATATTCTTGCTTGTAAGTGGTCCTTGCCTACACCGACAGCCAGATATAATAGCATTTGAACTCACATATTTAAGCTTAAACTGAATAAACTAATTTCCACAAACTTATACAAACTATTTGTGTGTTCATACATGTGGCAACCACAAATCACAGCTAATGGTGCGTGCGAGCAGCTGAAGTCAAGGTTATAAACAAATATAAGAATCAGTGGAATTACACCATAAATATATTTTTCATAAAACTAGTTAGCGACTTTGCAGTATTTGCAGCAAAAAATTTGAATTTAATTTGCATAAATTATATTGGAAATATTTCATTGCGTTTATTTTACAGCTGGTTTTTGTGTAAGAGAGTTGCTTTGTTGAGATAAAAATAAATAAATAAATAAACAAATATGTGCTAAGCACAGCCAAGTAACTTTTTAGAAATATGACCTACTTTTTTATGCATTTACACATTTTTAAACCATAATTAAATTTGATCAACATTTTTTTTAATGCATATCGAAAAAATATTGAATAGAAAATATATAAGAAAAGTTTCTATGAAACCGAAAATAAATTAATAAATGTGTGCTGTGAAACTGTGAATTGAGAATGATGTGGAAATTGCTTTAAAAATTTGTAAATTTAAATTTTATTAGCGTTCTACACGCATATACATATATACCTATTTGTCTATGTAAATATATACAAAACACATGCATTTGCCGCTAACGGCATATGGTTCACAATATGCAGCTGCTTCTCAATTACCTTTGGCGAGAATAAGCACGCCACCGTGACGCTCGCCGACAAACTTATCGTCACCGACATGGACGTTATCCTCAGCGGCACATGATTGGCGGTGCCGAAGTAAAGCGGCACAAACGCCAGCCAGATGACGCAAGTGGTGTACATGGTGAAACCTGAGCAGATGATGGAGGTGGAAAAAAGCGGTTTAGTTGGAAATAAGGTAAGGACGAGCAGGCGAGGATGGGAAGTAATCACAGCATAGGAAAGATATGCATGTGTATGTATGGGTAAGCGGAATTGCCACAGGTGTTTAGTTGAAGTAGTTTGTTCACAAATGGCAGCGTCCAGTGAAGTGAATGCCAAAACAAATATGACGAAATTGAATTATTTTAATTAGCTAAATATTTAGTAGACAATTAGTAAAATAAAATATATTTTGGTAATGCGTTGTGTGTAGCTTCATATGCCGATACAAAATGGCAAGCTTTTGCGGAGCTTTACAAACTTCAAATCTCATTATGTATTGGCTTACAATTACAAGCGCTTAGCTGTTTTATATAAATAGCTGTGCCTTGGCGTTAAAAGCGCGCTAAACTTCGCCAGACGCTCGGCACTACTTACCGATATGTTTGGACTCGTTAAATGCCTCTGGTATTTTGCGCGTCAGCACCGCGTACACTGTGCAGACTACAATCAGAACGATGGGATAGAAGAATGCAATCATGTAGGAAGCGTCGATGTACGAATCGCAGACGAGCATATTATCCTCGCGTGTCGGATGATGGTACATGGCGTGCGACGGTGCAATCACCATCCAAACGCCATTAATAAGAATCTGCAAGGAAGAAAATCACATAGAGAACGGTCATTAGTAAAAGGAAAACCGAAAGCAATTTTAGTTGTGTGTAGATATGTAAACATTATTTTAATGGCAAAGAAAAGCGCTATTGTGTTGATGAATGGCGCGGCGGAGCATAAACAAACAAAACACTACAAAAAAGAGTTAATGGATGCTGCTGAATGCTATTGTTCGCAGCATAAGCAAATATGTGTAAAAAGCTTGTGTGTTTGTACTTGTATGTGAGCAAATATGCGGTGTGGCAGCGTGTTGGTTGCATGTAACATGCTATCTGCAGTATGCCGTAATGTGGCCATGCAGCCGCTGCGTTGCAAAATCTTTTGCCGCATTCTTGCGCATTTATTGTACGTTCTTGCTGCTATTGTCACAGATATAGTACTTACTTGTATGAAAATTAGGAATGAGCAGATAACCAATTGTGACTTGGGACTTATGAAGGAAGGTCGTTTCGCCGATTGTTTGCCCGCTTTGAAGATACGCGCTATGCGGTTGGTTTTGGTGAGCAGAGCGGCGTAGACAACGGTAAAGCAGAAGCCAACGCTGAAGCTGGGAGAGAGACAAACACACAAATGCAAATAGAATTTTTATATAACACATTGAAATATTTTTTTGTATTTTAGTTTTCAGTTTTTTTTTATATTTTTTTTTGATAGCATTAATAAAAGTTTTTTAGTTTCATTTAGTGAAAAGTTCTATGGCAACTTACCGTTGTATGGCGCACACTATATTCGTGGGCTTCAGCACCAAAGCAAATGTAACGGCATAACACATTAATATACCAGCGAGTAGTATATAGCTGAGCTCCCGGCCAGAGGCGCGCACAATGGGCGTATCGTTGTGTCTAAGGGAATAAAAGGGATGAGCAAAATTAATAAGTGGAGACAGAAAAGTTTTGTTAAAAACAGCAAATCATAAATAATGAAACAAAAATTGAATTACGCATAACAATAATTCACAAATCTCCTTTGTAAGCGATTAAGTAAATACTTTTTGAATGCCTCTTTGAAAATTGCAAAAATGGCGCAAAAACAAGCATAACGAAAAAATTCCTATTTAAAACAACTCAGAAAAGCATATTTTGCATTTTATTTAAAAGGCAAACAGTAAAAGCACGTCTAGCCAAGTAGCAAAATTGTGAAAAATACCAAAATCGCAAAAATAAATAAATAAACAAGGAAAATGAAACATAAATATTTCCGGCGCTGCTGAAGAGCACAAGTTGTACGCTTTAAAAATCGGAAAATAAATAAAAAAGAAGCTTATGTAGCAAGTTGACTCCGCAGCAAACCAAAAAAAAAGGAAGTAAACATAAAAGAAGAAACTAACAAAAAGCAATCCATTGTTGACATGCGACAGTTGGCAATTGACACCGTAAATTAAAGGATGCTGAGAGTGAGTAACTGTTTATATATATTAGTGCTTGCTGCACACTTACCGCACAAATACGCCAACAACAAAGAGCGTGACCAAAATGCCGGTGGCACTGAAGGCCATCGCGCCAATCGCCCAAGCTGATTCAGGTCGCAAGTAGACTTCCGGTATGGGCTGGCAGAACTGCTTGGTAGCATCGGGTAAAGTGCCCAATTGGCAAGTTAGGCACTGAGTCTCATCGATGGGATGGCGAATCTAGGTGGAGTGTTGTAAAAATGCAGTTAAAACACAACAAGTGGAAAGCTTTCAAATAAACGTTGCTATTCAAAATGTAACAAGTGTGGCAACAATTACTTGGGTTGCGGACTTGAGATATTTATGCATTTTCAAAATTTATCTATTGACCTACTTTAAGTATTTTTTGCTGTATAGCTTGCTGCATAAAATGGCTGTTAATTTTCCGAAAAAAAAAATATTTAAAAAATTTCATAAAAACTTTGATTGCTGGTTTTGCAATATTGTAGCTAAAAACCACTCAACTAGATAAAAGCAAATGTTTTCTCGTTGCAATTGGACTATAAATATATTAAAATTTTATTAAAAAGAACTTGTTTTTTGATTGGAAAATGTACGGAAAAGTTTCTGCTGTAATTCTGAATCTAAATTAAATATTTATGCGCTCACAATCGCTCAGTAGCTTACGGCAAACGTCATCCACTACTACTACAGTTTTATTTAAATATTCTAGCAAAACAACTGCGAGCAGAACTTTATGCAAACTATTGCAAAACTTATGCTTCTTCGCTTCTTTTCCCCGGAAAAAGGTTGCACTTAGAAAAAAATTGGCGCGTGGAGGGCAACCTTCGCTCTAAACCGAGCTGAGCGATATTCAGTCTTGTTTCAACTGGGTTCAATGAGTGAATTGAATTCAATTTGCTGCAGCATAATTTCTAAATCAAAATCCAATTTCCCAGCTGCAGTTGGCTCAAATAAGCGCAAGCACACACACACAGAAGAATTTGTACAACGGTATACAAATGCGCTGCAGTAAAAGCATTACCAATATAAAACAAGCAAATCAATTACTCTACAAAGCTTTTCAATTTATCTGCACAACTCAATGCTTTGGCACATAAGCCGCCTCTCACCGCGCCACGGCCGCTCAATATGGCTTGCGGCTGCTACAGCTGTCGCACTTTCAAGGATATGCATGTGTGTATGTGTGTGTCTGTGTGCATTGTTTGTGTGCCAATATTGCCCTGGCAATCGTTGCCGTGCTAAGTGACAACTGTAAATTTGCTTGAACTTACTTGATAGGTTGAGCAATTGAAGCAGTGCCAGCAGCAGCTCTCGCCCTCCACATACTTCTTGGCCTGTCCGCGTTCACAGGGCAAGCTGCAGACGGACTCAGGTGGCTTCGGATGCAACAGTTTAAATTGGACTTCTGCAATGGAAGAGTAACAATGATACAAGAATGAAAATGTGTGGCAGAAACAAAGAAAAGAAACTCGACTAAATAAAATAAAAAATAACGAGATCGTATAATAAAGTGCAGATTAGTGTGTGAGAGAGTGCTGGCAGAAAAGTGAGCGAGGAAGCGACGCAGCGGCGAAGGTGTACATGTGTAGCAGTTAAGTTTACAAATGCGGCTATAATAAGTGCGAGCAAGTTTACTGCAAGTGCGCCTAAACGCTCTTGTGATGCACAAATTGATTTGGCGTTGCAGCAAATTGTGAAATGTTGAAGGCTAAACAAGCGAGAAAGTGAATGGAGGCGGAAAAATAGGCGCTTTAAGCCGCAAGTTGCTTAACTAATGCAGGTGGTTGGTTAGTTTATTGATAAATAACATTAAATTAGTATTTGCTTGCTCGTAAAAGTACTGTATTACTGTAAGAAGTATTTGAAAGTAAGCCTACATTTGTTAAAATAATAGCAGTTCACTAATTTTAGTGTTGATTCTGAATTTTATTAATTTTAGATTTTGAGGATGCACTCACAAATTCTGGTTGTGCGCCTAAGAGATGTAAAGAAATATTAAAAACTCATTTTTAAAATGGTTGAAGTGCATTTTTAATCAAAATAGGAATTGTTATAATTTTTTTTATTACTCATACCGGTCATATTGAGGCGCAGCTCACCCTCATAGTATTCACCCACTTTGATCCAGTGGTAGAGGCCCTCCGCTGACTGCTTGAAATGAATGATGTTGTAACGCGCTGGACCATCGCCATTGCCATCGAAGCGAAAATGATCACCGCTGAGGCCTGGAAATGGTTAAAAACGATTGCAATTGGAAATTTTAATGCAAAACAAATAACGTCGCACATAAAAATAAAACATAAATGAAATCAAGCTGTGGTAAAACACAATTGTAACGCAAGATTGGTTGGAAAATTACTTGCCCGAAAATACTTGAATATTTTTTAAATATGTACAGTAGAGGGTGGAGTGAAAAAAAAGATTATTTTTTTTTGATTAGCCTGAGGGTCAAATAGAGAAGATAGTAGACTATAAAATAAGAATATTTTTGGAAAAAAATTTTTTTTGGACCGCTACTCATTTTTAAAGTAAATTTCGAGTTAAAACTTTTTTTGGACAAAAAAAATTTTTTCGGCTTAAACTCTTCACATTTATATAAAAATTACCGAATTTGACAGTTTTTGACTCAAATTTTTTTTTAACGCTTAAGGAAAGCATGTTGTCCTTTAAGGTTTTTTTTTAAAACTTCCATAATGACCACAAAATTTTTTAAGTTGATAACTTTTAATTGACCAGAAAGAGAACTCTCCACAGCTTCTAGAACACTTATCAAAATTGTTTTACCAAATAAAAATTTTAACTGGAAATTTACTTTAAAAGTGAGTGGCCGCCTCTAGATGTTAAAAAAAATTTTATTATTAATTTTTTTATAAGCAAAAAATTTTACCCTCAGGTTAAGCAAAAGAGAATTTTGTTCGCTCCACCCTAATGCACAGCGTTTTCTGATATATAAAAATATATGTATACATATACAATGTGTGTATGTAAGTGTGTTCTTTTACAGATGTTGTATAAATCAGCAACAACAGCAAAAAGGGTTAAACAATACATTGTTGTTGTTTGTGTAGCTGTCAAAAGTTTTGCTGACAATTTTTCATTCGACGCTGCTCATTACGCCCTTTCACGCACGCATTATAAATTCAAACGCGCCTATTTATTTTCATCACAACCAATTTCGCTTATCTGCAGCAGTGCCATGCGCAACCGCCAATCAGCTGAAGCCATCAAGCATAAGCAACAGGCCACTCGAGAGCGCAAAGAAAGAAAATTGTTAAGGCAGCGCAAATCTAATCACGACGCACATAACAGCGTATAAACACACACATACACAGTGCAATTTGTGTGTTGTTGTTGCTTTTTGCGCGCCACCATTCATTTTTCATGTGTTTATTTGTTGCTTTTGTAACTTTTTAGCGGCAACGCTATCCATTTTATCTCAGCGCAGCACGCAGCGTTCACGCATATTTCGACGCTTTCCAAGCGGACGCGCAATTTTTCCGTTTACTGTTACATTATACCAACCCTTTTTTTTTCTTGTTTTGCGCGCTTATGATTATAAAATAATTTATTGAGTTTCATTTTCAATTCAATGATGAGCAACGGCGGCCACTGGGCTGGTGTGCGGCTGCCTGCACTCGGGAGAGCGGTATCGAGCGGAGCACTGAGCGGAGCAACAAAGCCAATTTTCCACTTGAATGCTTCTATGTGACAATGGCAATGGGAGCACAACAGCAGCCGTATTAGTTGCAGCAACAGCAACAGCCACGATGGCAGCGAAACGCATACTCGCGTCCTGCCACATGCACACCAGCACGTTGCCGTCACAGCATAATGTTACAAAGTGTCATTAGGGTACGTGCTCTAAGTACACACGCCAATTTCCATGTATACCAAGCTTATGCATTGAATTTCATGTGTGTCTGTATGTGATAGTGGATTTCGTGGCAGCAGTGGCTTACATAGGACTCTTATAAACATATGTACGTTAGCAAGTTGTTACTTAAGTAGCTGAAAACACACACACTGCCATACACTTTCTACTCATAACTCAACTATTTTACTTTATTGCCAGATTATTAAATTAGCCCACACTGCATGCTACTTACCCTGAAATTGCACTTTACGCAAGTATTTGAGTAAGTCGGCGCCTTTGGTGGGTCTCATGGCATCGCAAAGCGAGGGTCGGCCGCCGCAGAGGTCGCGATGCATGTCACTGTCAATATTCAATGTGCAAATAAACGGGAAAATTTTAAAATGAATTTACTATGCGTAGAAAATTGCGCTAAGTAGTTTATTATTAGCTAAATTATTTGGCTAAAAAAAATATATATATATATGTAGCTTAGTATGCTCTAATACATGCGGCTCTGCTTCGCTTGCAACTAACTCACCGTAGCGCGTATGCAAATGCCATCACCGCATCGCTCACGAACTGCAGCTGGTCCTCAAAGTCTGTGTCCTTGGAGAGGCGCTCTTTAGTAGTGCACGTGCGATTGTAATTGTTGTATGGCGTACTTAGACTGCCAGGATAGCGGCATTGAAAGTGATCCTCCCAGAATTCTACAAAGCCAATTGAAGTAAAGAAATTTCCAACAGTTTTGAGTTATTGAAATTTCGCTAAAGAATGCTAAACGAATGTTCTTCCGCAAGAAAGAAAACAACATATGCTCGAATGACTCACCTACAAACCATGGATTTCGTTGATTGTTTTCCACCGTTAAGTTTAAAAAGTATTCCTCGAAACCTTTTACAGGATTCGCTTGTGGCTGCACGGATAAGGTGCCCTCAACCTGTAATTTAATGTATGTAAGTAGAGCTTAATGGATCCGATCACTGACAGAAATTATGCTTGCAAAAAAATACAAAGTTTTAAAGTTTCAATTTCTAAACTTGAGTGTTTTTGCTTCATTTTCGAAATATCATTTGGCAGTCTGCCAAGCTGCAAGCATGCGCGCCATTGCTGCGAAAATTTTCAACTAATATTTCTAGCATTAAAAAACACTGTCGAATTCGACTCGGTGCGATATTACACTGTAGTTTTCTTTCCGGTTTTGTAATAACAGTTTTAGCTACATAAATTATAGAAGTAAACTTCAAGAAAATTTAAGATTTTAAAACTTTGAAACAAACGAAAATAAAGCGAAATGAAAACCGCAAATAATTTCCGGAAATTTAAATAAAAATCATGTTCAATAAATTGCACATTAAGATTGAGTTGAGTTAATTTAAATCCAATAACGTGATTTAATACTGTTGTTAAACATTAAATCGTTTGCCTGTATTACTTTCGTTGTCATTTCGATTTTTGTAAGAATTTCGCCTGAAACAATTAATAACAATTATCCTGTCGTAAATTATGCAAGCTTTGTATGTAAATAAACCGCATACGCGCCGCTCCCTAGAGCGCTGCTTGCTTGTCCTGCTTCGACAATTGTAAATGCAATTGTGCGCATATAAATATGTACGCAGCTGTCAGTTTTATTGTGCGCTATCTGCGCACATGCAAGCATTTGTGCGTTTGCTCAACTCCACGTATCAGATTTAACCGTTACAATGAAATTAATTATTAATGCGACTTGCGGCGAGAACTCAGCATAAAAATTACTTTATATAAATATATATATTCTTTATGTTCCGCAATACCAAATAAATGATTAAAGGAAAACATTTAATGTTCAAGAAACTATAATTACTTTATCACTTTACGAAACTGCGGTCATGGGTCATGTAGGTTATCGTCGCACAGGCTTGGTGAATGCCCGCTGCCTGGCGTTAGATGTGCTTATATATAATATAATATATAAACTTGGTATCCTTAAAAGGTAGCATTAAGTTGTCTGACTGCGGCACTCCCACGCTTACAACAATATTAGCAAAACCAACACCCACTCACTTCTCGGCATTCATTAATGTGTGTATTTGTGGTGTTTGCTCAACTAAAATGAGATTACCGCAGCCAGTCGACCTGGTCTAAGTGATTCCGACAGCAATTCATTAATCAATTTGTTGTTCATGCCGGCTCTTTACTCACACACACACACATGCCTGCGTATAGAAGACCTACGCTTCTAACTTTTAACATAATTTCCGTTCACACAAGAGCAGTGGAAGGTGCACAAGTACACAGTGTGTTCATTTGCGAGTGTAGCAGTTTATGGCGGGCGCAGCATGTTTTTTTCTCACCCCCCACTTTGCCCTTCGCTCTTTCCCGTACACTATAACTATTATTTGCATTTATGCTTGTTTGCTGATGCTTGCTGATGAAGTGCCTTTAGCCAACTGCCATTATAAGTGGTCATATCCTGCGCAATACCGACGCATGTGCCTTCCTATGCTTGATAAATATATAAAAGGCGAGCGCTTGCTATTCATTAAACATGCAATTACTCACCTCCGGCTCATTGCCGTCGGATACCAGGTTGCGCGCGCTCCAGCCGTCCGAGCCGATCCACGAAAAGGCACCAGTCGCATTGTTGCGTCGTACCGCCCGCATCACCTCACGCACTTCCTGATCCGAACCGAATATAATGGCACCTGGAAATAGAAGTGAAAGCCATTAAATGAAATGGAATGACTAGTTTGCTTGATAAAACTGCCGGGCTTTGTTAAGAGAGCGCTAATGCCGCTTGATTAAGTTTTCGGTCGTGAAATGTAGTGCGATGAAGATAAGTGTACATTCTAACGAAGCTGCCGAGTCAATGCGTCAGTGCGCGGACCTTGACATGTAATCAGTTAGCAATGTCATAAAAATCAACGCAATATTGACAGCTTAATGATGTCAGCTTCCTTGCTTAAAATCTTAAGATTAAAAAATGCTCTCGTCCAAGCGAAAACAAGCGTTCTTTTGCTTTTGTGGTGTTTGTGTAGATACTTTCGAAAAAAAGTGTGATCTTACTAGCAACAAGTTATTTCAGCAACTCTTTAGAAAACTTCGAAACTGGTTGTTCTGTAGCGGCCTCTAGTTACCACGTGAACTGCAGTCAACTTTTTGATTATAGGTGGCTTAGTTGAGTTCTTAGAACTACACTGCGCATCGTCAGTATTTTCTAATTTATTTTGAATGCTTGTCCACATAGCATTACACTATCATTAAAGCCACATATTTTCGGAGAACTAACAAGCTTATGTTCCATCGCTTAAGGTGGTTGAAATACATGATTGGCTACTTTTTCCTCACAGCAAAACACCTCCTCGACTATTATTATAGATTACCCACGTTGAAGGTTGTCTCAATGTAATCAAAAATATGCACCTTGGAGGCGTGATTATTAACAGTAACAAGAATGTTGAGCAGGCTGCGGAGATACCTCTATTATAGGCTCATCAGTAAAAAAGCTTTAGTAGCAACCCGCGTGTTTCGCTTAAGTTTATATATACACATGGGACACTGTTGGGTTAATATGCCAACTGCACATAGTTCAAATGCAAAAAAGTTATACCCGTAGCAGGAATATACGTTTTATCGAAAAATAACAACTGTGTAGCCATAAATATCTGGTGTTGCGAAATTTAAGGCTTAAAAATTTCGGAAAAAATATTTGCCACAGCGTCAGCACACGCACTTCTTTCCTGCGGAAAGGAAAAAATAATGGAATTAAAGAGCTTTTTTATCTTTAAACCGCCTGTTTGGCTCTATCGAAAAGCACTGCGTCAAACCAAAAACTAACAACTTTTTGTGGCAACTCATTTGTGGCTACATTTCTGAAATAGTTCTGCATGTGAGCGGGCTATGTGTAGAATGTGCGCAATACTTGTAGTTGCGAACACATGGCTTAACTGGCCAAAAAAATTTTCGCAGGCAGCCTGTTGCTGTGTTGTTTTAAATGCTTAAATGTATGTCATTTACGGAGCACTGAAATGTTGGACGGGTAAAAAGAGTTAAGTAAAAATTGCGATATTTCGACACGCTTTTTGGCATGGCTGCATTTCGTTGCGTTAAAATGCCAAGACAGAGGCGCCACGAAGCATTACATTTGGCCTACGACGTGCGGGAAATTGCAAAGTTATTTTCGGAGCAAAATTTGCAAAATGCCACGAAGTATGCGTAACACCCTGCGCGGTTGAATGTGGCGCCTTCCGCGCCTTCTCGAGTTTGCAACTACGCTGCTCGGAAAGTAGGTTAGACGTGTGAATGCTACGCTTGGCTTAACGGCGCGCTCGTGTGTGCGCTTCGGGAAAAGGTGTTGATGGCTCAAGAAAATTGTGTGACATATGGGCTTGATGGCTATCAAAGGGTCTTGGTGCATAATATGACCTACTTTCTACTTTCTGGCACTTTGAGTCAACGAAAGGCGGCGCACAGGTGACGCAAGTTAGTAAATCTAAAAAGCGGCTAAACAAAAAGGCGAGCACACACCTTTTCAGTCAAAGACTTGCTGAAATTGCGCGAAAGGTATGCCGAAGAAAATAGTTGAAATGCCGATGCCGAGCAAGAAGTCACGGAAATTTACATAAAACCTCACTAAAAGCGGCATTTATCAGCAGTTTTTTTTACAATGGGGATATTGAACACATTTCATTTTTAACGTAAGAAGCAAGCACTATTTATTTCAGAAACTCCGACGACACCTTATGTGCAGCTGATATATTTTTCAGCACTTTCACTTCACCTGCACACACACACACCCATTCATACGTATACACACAATAATATTGAAATTATTAGCAATGCTACGCCCCAATGCGCCTTAATTGAGCCTTTAGCTTTTTTGCCGCAGCCGAGCAGTCAAAATGCTGTTGCTGTTGAACCCATGCGTCCTACGAATGGTGTGAACCTGAGGCGGTACTCTTCTAAACCAAATTGACTTCAAGGAAATTTGCAAATGAAAACACTAAAAGCAACTACAGCAACAAAAAAAAGGCAAAAAGCACTAGTGAAAAGGTTAATTTTGAACATAAATCTACAACACATTGATAAAAGCAAAGCTATGCAGTTGCAGGTGGGGTTGACAGCAAGTAGGAAGCATTGAAAAATTCCTAAAAGTGAGGAAAATTAAGCATAATAACTTTTCCTTTTTTGTGTATATGTGCGTGTGCGTGACTATATATGAAGGCAAATGAAATGTAATATTCATTAATAAAATTTATGTGCCTTTGCAAACACACCCGGCCCATGTAACATCAGCTCGAAAATTAGAAATTCTTGATTGCGATCTAACTTGCCAGAATGTAGTAGTCTCAAGAATTTATTGTGCGAAAATAAACTAGTTTTTTTTTTCGTATGGCTGATTAGATTTTTTTCTGAAAGTTTTTTGAGCAAAAAAAAATTGGTAATAATTAGAAAAAGTCTCTAATTTTCTTAACTTAAATATTTAATATTTGATGGGGGATTTTGTTTTGAAATGTTTGCGGTTTAATTTTTTTGAAAGCGTTCCGGAAATTTAACTTTAGAAATAAAATCGTGTACAGCTATTGTTGAAAATTTTTCTAAACCCCTTTTTGCATACAACTAATTTTCTATGCAACTTTTGTTGATTCAACTTTTCGTTAATCTGCTTCTGTTGCCTCAATGCATTTTGAATTCGCTTTCATTTTAAAATTCTTCATAGCTACAGACATTTATTCAGCCATTTTTCAATGCAACTCGCTCCCATTGTCATTTGAACGTGCAATTTGACATACTAATGGTTGTCAGATATCTTAACGACAATAAAGGCAATAAACGACACTTTTCGTTTGCTCTGGCATTTCCATTGGTTTCGCTACTTCTTTTCATTTTGCGCTTTAGAATGGTTCGGTTGGGTGGCGAGCAGCGGTGATTGAAATGAGCAGAAAGTGAATGAATTGTAGCTTCATTCATACAATATTGGAATGTGTGGGTTGGGGCGATACAGCAAGGTAGGCAACTTGAATAATGGTATGCACGACTACGACACGGTGCGGAAAAGCAAATGAGAGGCGATTAATAGTTGTGACACTTTTTATTGCTTATTAGACATTCAAATATTTGTGTAATTGTATTAAACTATTAATGCTGGAATTTTTATTTTAGTTCCCTGCATTTTATATACAATACAATGCGCAGCAAAAGATGCTGACAGTAGAAAAGAATTAAAATTTTTTAAAATAACCGCATGTTTTAGAATTGTTGGCCAATTTGCAACCCTCAATCATTAATCATTTCGCGCTGACCTTCAGAAATCCTGAATAAGTCAAATAATAAAAGCTGTTGATTTATTATACAAAGATCAAGTGCAAAAAGAACTCGAATTTAAAAAAAAAAACTTGCCACAATAAACTTATTTCCAACATTTTACAGCGCAGCGGATTCTTGTGCTTATTCTGCAGTCGGAAATATGCATGTTATAGAGCTTAGAGTAGAAATAATGAATTTTTAGACACAGATATATTTATTTTGATATTTGTTTATAATTTGCTTTTCCGAATCCCCAGCGACCACAAGTTTCATTCTCTGTATCTCGTCCTTCGGCTACTGGCCCACTTGTGCTCATATGCCTTTGCTATCTTAATGTTTAATATCATAAATCACAAGCAGACATTCTCTCTAACCAACTACACATATTTTTTTATACGCTTTGTGGTATTTTACTTCCGTTTTACTAAATTGTGGCTTTTCAGTGTGTTTGTGCGTGGTTGGTCAGTCAGCATTTTGATATTGTAAGCCTTTTGCTCTCAAAGTTAGTTTTCAGCAGTGTTTCAATGCCCCTCATCATTTACTTGCCTTAAGTGTGTAATTGTGCAGCGACTTGTTTAATGGCATTTGTGCATTTTGTATTTATCAAAGTCTCTGCGGGCATGTGACAATGATGGCGTTAATAAATCTATTTATATACATATATATATTTTTATTTTAAAGTGAAAAGCTTAGCTGCGATTATTGTGCAATTTTACATTAGCAAATTTACAACTTGCTTAAAATACTTTCACTGTTTTATTCAACTTAATATATAAACGTTTGCTGATTTGAATTTTGCCAGATTGGCTCAAATGAAAGGATGTCTACTTCTCTCTAGCAACGAGTAATTTCGGTATTGCAGGAAACTGTAGGCTCATGAGCTTGTTAGTACAGGCACTTCAGGCAGTCAATAACAGCGGAATGAGAATGGACTGCTTTAGCTTCCTATTGCTCACTACTGTACTGTTGGGCCTCAGACCAAATCAGCAAGCGCACGTCGACTAACAGCAGCTATGCAGTCGCGTGTTCTTTCTGGTTTAGTGGTTTTAGGTTCACCTTTCAGTGTATGCCAGTTTCATCAGCTTGTATTTTTGCTGCTTTATATTTGATTTGTATAAAGATGAGATATAATCATCTCAACACTTACTCCGCAAATGCGCCGAGGATACCTTTAGACATCCAGGTAAAATAGCGGAAATAGAAATAAAAGCCCTCAACGAGGAAAAGAGCGCATTGGGAGACGTAGAACCAGCTTAACACTCCAGCTACTACTGGCTAATAAACACTATATAAAATCAAAAGAGCAAATTGTTAAAATACTGCCAACTTCTATATATTTGCTTTAGTTTTGCATTAAATTTACTTTCATTGTAAAGATCAAATGCACAAATTAGTTAATATCTATATCACTGTTGAGCCACACCCTCCGTCAGCCACTAATGTGTCGCCAACATAGCACCAATGCTTGTCATTTCGTGTTGCTTGCTTTTAGCGTTCGTTCGTTATTCTATTTTCTCTAACAAGCAGCTGCAAGTTTTCATAAAATTTAAATTAATCTTTCATCTTGTTAGCTGCCTGCGTTGTAGCTGCCAACAGTTGGCGGTTAACAACAGCCTGCGCAAACTTTTACAAGCAACGCTGAAAATCGGCGCGTAAATCAAATAAATTAACGGTTGACTGAATAGCTGAGTGAGTAACTAAGTCATTCATGGCAAAGTAGGCAAAAGAAATGTGCCATATGAGAAGCGCAGCTTTGTTGAGCTGTACTGCGCGCTGGCTTAGCTAAAACGGCACAAACCTCACTTGACTTTATTTGTGTACGGGCATTTATTCTCACTTGCTGGTCTGCAAGACCACGCGCGGAGAGTGCTTTGCGTTTATGTTTCACGAAGTTTATAAGTTAATTTGGTGGAAGGAATTTTCGCAATCATCTAATTTCGAGTGGCGGTGGCCAGCTTGTGCTGAATATTTGATGGTATGGTACTCGGAATGTGGTGCTTGTCCGAGACGTAATGGTGTACAATAATTTGGGGCAACGGAAAGTAAGAAATTTTTAATATATATTATACCTTCCTTTGCAGTTACGGTGCTTCAGTAGTGCTTTGTATAAAAAATGTGTGCAATTCGTTAGTAGGTCAGCAATGACCCAATTGTAGGTAGCTAATGTTAGGTGGAGGAATGAGGATTTGCGTTGTGTGCACATGTGTGTACACACTTGTATGTGGCTACTTAGTAGTTAAGTTTTTTTGTAAATTTGCAAATTCCACGCGCTTGCATTGGCACTTGCACTTGTGGCTTTTGGTTAGCGTTGCTCTGTACTTACCTCTGGCCCGTGGCTTTGTCAACAGCTTTTGCACAATATTATCATAGGCGATCTCCTCAGCGACGCCGGAGTCCTTGACGAGCTTCTCCTTGACAGCGATGCAGATGTTGTGACGTGCCAACAGCTCTTCCAGCTCCTCAAAGGCCTGTGTAGAAGTGGAAAAATATAAAGAGAGTGCTTACTTAAAAAGAAAGCCTTTAAATGTAATACTTTGCAATCAGCAATCATGCGCTGTTGAAGAGATATTGCCTAAAATGTACACCGATTGAACAACTGCTTGTTGCATGTCATACGCTTGCATTCTGCAATTAATCATTTTGCCACTTTTAGCCAACCTCTTCAAGAGCAGATTCTCTGCAAAATACAGAGTTAGGTATCTGAAGTGTGACGCAATACTAATTATAATTTGTCATCGGCTACTTGCGAGTCATCTAAACTGTTTGGTTAAAAAGTAGAGTAGAAGAGACGTGCAGAAAGAAAGTGTAAAGAGCAATTGCCGTAACGTCAACACACTCAGCTGAAAAGCCATTATATTCTATTGACTCTGGGAATGTCGCTTGAATAGTGTGCACAAGAGCTTACAGGAAATGCTAAGTGCTAAGCGAAAATGTCATGAAATTAATTAATACAGTGGCATTTGAAATGTATTCAGAATTTTGCAGACATTTAAATTAGCGGAATTCCAACAATAGCAGCGCACGAAAGCGCCGCAATTAAATCTTAAACCACCAGTCACCTCCTACCAGCGCATTAGCTTTTGCTTGAGCAAGGGAGCACAAAAATACTGACAATGCAATTTAATAAAGTTCTTATTTCCAAGTCTCAAAGCTAAAAAGCATGCACCATTTCTACGCGGAAATTAGAAGCAATCGAAAACACTTTGTGACTTGGTACACGGAAAGAGCAAGGCTTAATTAAAACTTTTGACATTGCCAACTATATTTGGAATATATTAAAGTGCATAGCACACATTTTTACTTACTTTTATGCCATAGTTGCTCTCTTCGTAAATAATTGAGACGTAACTCCAGCCCATGCGTTTGACGATTTCCACCATCGCCTTGACCTGGTAGTGATCGGAGGGTATTGTCCGCGAGAAATATTCGAAGCGCTGCTTGTTGCTCAGTTCGGGGCTTGTTGAGAAGAAGGAAACCTGCAAAATGTGTGAATTTTGAATTCAATAAAAAGAGGAAGAAATAATTAGTTATTGAAAAAAAAGATTAATAGTTTGAGCAAGAAAGCAAGACAAGACCAAAATATGTAACACTGAAGCCATTGGTATTTTAACCGAACAAATCAACGGATAGTGTAAATCATTTACGAATTCGCTGATAGTTTTTTAGAGAAATTGACTATATCTTGAAGAGTTCGATCTCCTAGGTCTGCTTCTTTAAAAAATTGTATTGTGCATTTAGCATACTTTTAGGCAAACAAAACTTTTCTTTTTTGCGTCTCTATGGCGCCCTTTATTAGTAAAGCTTTTAAATGAACCAACGAGAAATAATTGATATTTATATCGCTCTCATCCACTAGTACCACCCTTCTGCACTCCTTGTCGCACTCACCATACAATTTTATATATATAGACTGTGTAAATTATACCGTTCGCTATTGACTGCGCACAGTAAATGACAATTCAGTTTATAAGCTTCTTAGCATTATGTATGTATAACACTCTCTTTTGTTTGTATGCCTTTAACGCGCTGCGCAATCATTGATTTTATGTCAAAAGTCTGGCTTTTTTCAATTATGCTGTCATTCGCGGGCGCCGAACGGCTTTCAATTGGGTCGTAATTAAAGTTATTGTTTTAAGGCTTTTAATATATACATATAGTTTGCATTTATATTGTAGACCTCTACAGCAGCCACACATACAAACACAGAAACTACGGTAACACTGGAATGATCCGGAAACTTTTGCCGTTGACTTTTAATGAAGTGTGCACACTTAATGACTAAATCGTTGCGGCAATGTGCGCTCGGTCTTTGGGATAATGAATTCTCGCCTTGCATGTGAGAAGAAGGGAAAGGAAATTGATGAACAAAAGATAATTTACCGCTCTTCGAAATTAATATTCGAAGTCAATCGCGCGTATAACAGTTAAACAATTAAACTGAAGTCTGTCAACTCTTTGACTAAAAGTCGTCAAGTAAGGCAAGGTTTATGGTCACTTTTAACTTGCGCATATTTACGCAATTTCACCAGCAAACAAAGAGTAAGGAAGTCAAATGTGACAGTTATGTGGCCAATATGCCGCTTAACTGCGGTTCATGTAGTAAATATGCAAGTAAATGGCGTTATTTTATCGCTGCTATTAACTTTAAATTTTATCGCGCACATTTCTTAACCACCAAGCATAGTTACGAGCGCATAGAACAAGTAAATGCTTTCAAGTTAATAAAATGTGGTAAAAGGTACGCACCGACATCATAACGGCATATAATTGCTGTTTAGGAAAGCAGCGTGTCGCTAAAGAAAATAAAAATGAGGCATTTAGTGCCAATGCGCTTGACCCTCGTCTACAAGAAGTGACCATTAGTGCACATTTGTACTCGAAAGTAGTGCCAGTTTACAGCCAAACAATGCTTGAAACATACTTGAAAATAGTTTGTAAGTCATTGTTGAGCAACAATAAAATATTACTGCAATTCTGAAGAACTTACGCGGCGCTTGGAACTGTGCTTACTTTGTCAATACGCATACCGTTGGAGCAATGAATGCGGGTCGCCCAATCAAACTATGTTTACTTGCCAGCAGCAAAGAGCTGCAAAGATTGCAAGGTTAACCGTAGTTAACTTTTGGCGAAAACACTAAAAAACTGGTTAACAAGAAGCTCATATGTGTGTATACATCCAACACACTATAAAATATTTGCGCTTTATGTCACTACAATCGATTTTTTTTATTATTTCACATTGCAGCGCAGAGTGTGCACGATAAGCTCGAAGTTTTACTATTTTCCATTTATGCTGACGCTGGCGCATGGCATGCAGTTTGCGAGATAGAAGCTATAACTATAACTTGGCTATGAAACGGATATTTTACGTCGTAGTGACATGGCGTATGAGTGACCCATGCATACTTACTGGCCATAAAGGCATTGAAGTGAGCGCAGTTGATTGGTGTGAAAGTGTGATTCCAAGTGCAATGAAATTATATTTTTCCGGCAAGCATTTACCAAGCATATTGAATATATGCATAGCTTTAAAACAGATTTATTAAGTGTGGGTGCCATTAAGGTGTTTAAATTAAGTATTTAAAGTAGCTGATAATATATCGTAATTTTGTTTGAAAAATATATATTTTTCTGCTGATATATAAAATTTATTTTGTTCATTTTCGTCATTATTCACTAGCTGTTTGGCTTATTTTTTAAATGCACAAGAAATATTAATATATACCCCGGAAAAGTTAAGTAGAGTTGCGGTATATGAATAGTTGGTAATAGCAGAATTATAGCATACTAAATTAAAGTCTTAAATTTTTGAAGCGCCACTGCGGCATTTAACTTTTCACTGAAAATTTGTATATTATTAAAGTGTGCCTTTAACCTTTTAAAATCTTTTCACTCACTTCTTTCCAAAAGTACTTATTTTTTTGTTGCAACTTACCTGTGGTATGCGAAAAAGACGCAGCAAGTTCGCAACTTGTATCGATGTTACGGAAGAGGCAGCGCCAACTACGCCGGAAATTACCTTCCGCACCTGCGTCTTGTTGCAATGGTATTCAGCATCGTCAATATTGCTAATGGAACCTGAAATAAGTCAAGCGAAATGAAAATAAATTGTGAGTATTTTAAATATAAAGCGTAAATTTTAATATGTCGAAATTATTTCGGTTAATGGCGCAATATTTTTTATTAAAATATTTTCTAAATTATTCTGAAATAATTTCTTAAATATTTGTAGACGAAAAAACATGTATTAAAAGAAATAAGCACTTTCTTAAGCAAATATGCATGTGTTTGAGTATGTACAAAAGCAATATTGCTGAACTTGCTTCAACTCGTGTAGACTTTTTTCTACAATATTTTGTTATTTCGTTTTTTTCTCCGTTGTGATCACATTGTTTATAGCTTCATATGGCTAAAGTGTCTATTTTTCCATTAACTGTATTCAGTTAATGGGTTTATATGTATATGTCGCACATAAATTGCTTGTGTGCAACCGCAAATGCAATTAAAGCTGCTCCCAGACGCTTGAAATTCAATTTGGCATACCGCAAGCCAGGCAGCCCACGATAGCGATAGTGTCAGAATACGTCTATGCATGTGTGTGCGTGTGCATAAAAATGTTTTTATTATTTGAGCTTAGTGCACAATAAGTGACATTCAACTCGCTTCTACCAGCATTTAACTGCCGACTTGTTACTCATACGCCATGTCTGCCCACATTTCTTAGCTACTTTTGCGGCTGCAAAAATTGTTAAGTTTTTATTTATACCATTAAATTCCATTACAGAAACTTTCAACGCAATTTCAAAGTGAATGCCTTGCAGATGCCGTAAAGTATTTTACAAAAATTCTGTTTATTTCAAGTAAAAACATTGCAGATTTTAACTAAATGCCAGCAGAAATATGTCAGGCATAGCTGCAAAGGCATTTCGCTTGTATTTGTTGACTCAACGAAAAGCATCAATACTGTCGGTCGTCTATAATATAAATAAATGTGCTGCATAGTTAGCTTTCTGTGCTAAGCATTTCTTGACCATTTCATACTCCAAAGGCAGCGTTTGTTTGTAAATGGTGCGCCAGTTTGCTTTATATGCAGCTCATTCTCCCTTTGGCGCCGGTCATTGCTGAAATTCATTAGAAATCTGTACGTATAGTCTCGCCGCTGGCCATGTGATGTTTTCTATAAAATATGAGTGGTGTGTGCTTAAAAGTTGTTCAGGCAGCGAAATACGAAAATGTGTTAAATATCTGAAATTCAATGGTGTAAATGCATGCGCCTCTCTGCGTTGAAATGTGTGTGTGAGAGTGACAGCGTACTGTCAGTTTCATTATTATTTTTTACTTGAAATGCCATTACGTTATTATTTCCAGCGTTTTTAAAAATATCTGCACTTAATTCAATACTGTACTCTAATTTTTTTCAAAAATTCAGCATTATTTTCTTTTTGGTGTGATTTGCAGGTCGTATTTTTGTTTGCTCCATACTTTTTTAAAACTTAAGACAGAACCATCAATTCGTCAATACGCAAAGTTCGAAGCCCCCTTTTTTAATTCCCCACATCAACAGCAAACGTCGAAGTGCTACATGGTTTCAGAAGGATGATGACCGAATCATCTCAGAAAATGTACCTGTCCATTAGGCTACTAAATCACGTGTTTGTACGTCGTTAAAATACGTTTTCTGCTGATAAACCAGCGAACTAACAAAATTCAACCGGCAGGATGGTCTTCCGCAGTTGCAATTGTGGTGCTCAAAAGCCAAAAATTTTTCTCAAACACTAAAAGCCATAGAATTTTCAAACTTAGGAAGCTCAAATATTATATATTGCGTTAATTTGTTAAATATCAGTTATATATCTACATATAATAATACATTCCCACATATTGTAGGCAGAATTCATTTAATAATTATTTAATGTGTGAATGTGCGTGCAAATTCAATACGTATTAGTTGCAATTAACGCTCAACAGCACTCGAAAGGGTATTCAAACAATATATTATATGAACAAGATATGCATATTGTGCTTAATTACTTTCAAACACTTGCAATAGTAGTTTACATATCTGTTTTCTATCATTCAAGTTTGAACAATAAAGCAAGCGAAAGATAGTCTAGGCTTTGTGACTCGCATGCACACATATGCATATGTATGTGTTGTGTTAATAGCATTTTCCAGAGTTTGCATAAATTAATTGAAATTCAGCAACATTGGCGTCGAAAAGGTCAAATTAGAATGCATGCGTCAGAAATTAGCAAAAATGAAAACAAGAGAAAATTGTCTCGTTGCCTCTGGAGAATTTATGCTATCTACAAGTTCACTCGAGCAGCCGAATGAGCGTTGGCTTTTATTTTAGCTATATTTTTTACCAGCTAATACGTTTTTTATCTAGATTGCCTCTTTCATGTTATCTTGATTTGATTTGCCTTTTTTATTGGCTAACTTTACTTCGCAGTGATTTCGCACAAGTCATTAAGCGAACTTGATTTCATATTAAACGGTCATGGTGAACAAACAGCGCAGACAAATGCGCATTAACTAGGCAACATACATATGTACATATACTTGTAGAGCAACGATAATATAAAAAGGTGCACAAAATGAATAAATAAATAGGTTTGCTGTTCTTGTGTACTCATGAAAAGTACAACAAAATATTACAATAAAAAAAAAATGAAAAAAACATGAAAAAACGTTTACTTCGGCTGCACTGAAGCTATAATACCCTTCACAAATAAAAAATGTTCGCTACAAGCACTTGATCTCGATCATTGAGTTTGTATGGCCATTCCGACAAATGAGCAGCTTTTTTGGGGAGAGAGGTACGTGTGCAAAATGATGATGATCAGAACGATATCTCAAAAACTGAAGGACTAGAAGTATATACAGACAGACAGACGGACATGACTGAATCGACTCAGCTCACTACGCTGACCATTTAGGTATATATTTTATGGGGCCTCAGGCGTTTCCTTCTAGGTATTAGAAACATTGTGGCAAACTTAATATTATACCCTATTCAGGGTATAAGAAACATATAATAAATCACAATGAAAAGCAAGCAGTAGCAAAGTCAGACGCTATTAGTTAAACTTAGTAAGTCAATCGAAAAGAAAAAAAAAAAAATAAATAAATAAATAATAACAACGCACTTATTGAACAAAGTTTACGGTGTGGCCTTAACCACCAACTTGCCCAACAGTAAGCCATATGCCACTAGTCATATTAAGTGAAATTAGAAGAACAAGAAACAAAAAACGAGCGCTCGCTAAGCCAGTCAGCGTAGTATTCCCAGTTGCCAATAAAAAGGAAATTAACTATACAGAGTCCCGCCACAAGGTTCGGAAACATGTGCAATGTGTGGCGCGCTTAGTCGCAGCCCAATTGTAATCGCAAAAGCTCGTTAAACCCATACCCACGCGCACATATGCACAAATACCAGTAGTTGTGATGCGTGTGGCTAAAAGCAGGGCACGCCGTTGGGGACAACGGACTAGGCGGATGGAGGCACAGCAGCGGAAAGATGCCGCAATGAATAATGTGTTTGCTATTTTATCTACGCACATTCAGGCGACCAGTGACGGCTCTGTTTGACGCAAGACCGCAAAGCATTCGGGAGACGCTTGACATTTGTTTGTTTGTGTGTGTAAGCAAATTTAGTTGCCAGTAGGAAATTTTATAAATTTTAGTTTCATTTTTTTAAATAAAATAAATATTTTCTTGAAAGTCATATTGAAACAAAAATCAATCGAAAAAACTTTTTATTTTGTTTGCATTTATTTCACATACTTTTAGCTTCATATTTGCAGAGGCCAACGTGAGAATATTTTAATTTTTTCTGAAAACCAAAAACGTTTCATATCTTTTCAGCATAGATTAATTTTCAGTTTTTATTGCAAGTATCGGCTGTACGCTTCAAATTTAATTGCAAGCAAATACGAAAATTATTTTCTGGTGGGTTCCCGTTTGCATAAGCGCTCGACTATGATTACAAGTAATCCCAATTGAATGCTTATTACATAAATACTCTAGAGTGCGCTCATGCTCGAGTAAATATCGAAAATGAAATTTATGCCCAATACATACACACATGCAGGCTCACACGAGTATTTATGAAAGTAGAAAAAGCTTTTAATATCACATGTCCACTCACATACATTGCATATCTGTGATGTAAACCATCAGTAAAGCGACCTATGTGCCAATTCCACGTTTCAAAAGTGCCAATAATGGCAATTTTTCGCATCACAGCTGCTTTAGCAGTATAACCAAGGTTGCACACACACACATCGACAAATTGTCACCCAGCCAGCGAGAGATATTGCTGAAAGCCAGTCGAAGTTGGGTTGTGCTGACTGACTAAGCCGGCTTGTCGTTATGCGTTAGTTGGGCCAATAATGAAATTAGCCAAATCACAACAAATGCCAACGCAGACATAATTTCACTAGCAATTGCTTATGCTTTACTGCGTGTGTGCGTGCGAATTCACACAATGAAGTCTCTGTCGTCACGTTCTGTTAGTTGTTCGGCAAATTAAAATGAGCCATACGATTTATGCTTACATATTGACATAAGCATAAGCATAAGCACATATTATTTACACAAATATTTGGAGCGTCTTTCATGTGAATATCTTTATTATTAAATAAGTGCTTGAGATGCGCATACTCTATTTCACAGTCAATGGAACCATGAAAGCGAGTGTAAATCGAATATATTATATAAGCAATTCGCAGCCAAGCAAGATGCTTCAGCCTTACCATGGCCCATTGTATTGGCTTCGACACTGCCGTTGGTGTCAACAAAACCTCTGCTCACATTGTTGTACACACCATTCATATTAGATTGTTGTTATCGCATTTCATGCAAGAATGTTTAAGGACCGTTTCTCGTATCTTTCCAATATCCATAATATCACTGCATGTACACAGTTATGGTTGCGAAGAAGAAGAGCAAAAATTCACAAGAAACGGTATATGAGCTGCTCGTTAGGGAATTCAGTGAATAATAACATATTAATATTGGTTATGACTGGGAACTTTCAAGCCATCTCCATGTGTTGCTTTTAATAATGCTCATTG